GGATGGGCCCTGGCTGCCAGGCCCTGCCCCGACAGACCTCCATGGGGAGCCCCCAACCCTATCGGCATTCAGCCCCCAGGGAGCAGACAGCTGAATTTAAATCCTATCTTCCACCTTCCTAGATTGCTTGTCGCTATCACATCGAACATAGCACCCCCCTTCAACCAACTCCTCATCACCTCTTCCCATTTCACTGCTGTCTTTCCCAGTATGCCCTTAACCAATTTTATTCTACAGTTTTCCCACCTCTTACTGCAACAGATCCCATGTCTCTAGCCTACTATCTAGGTTGTCTGTGCTTCTGTTCCATTAAACACTGAGCACGATGTGCTGTAATCTGCAAATTATTTCAAAAATTGAAAACTTTAAACCTTCAGATAGAAAGCCTTGTGGAGGGGAGGACGGAGGAGCATAAGGACAGCCATACAGGTCAGACCAATGTCTGCCTAGTCCCAAATCTTGCCTCTGAGAGGGACGGTGAGAGATTGTAAAAAGCAGGGAAAGCTTAGCGGAATCTTTCCTGGTCTATCCTCCCCTATTCCAGCAAATTATCATTTTTAATTTACCTTTATCCTCTAAGAATGTAATGAAAATGAAGGTGGTGATGATGATGAGAGTGAATTCAATGCTCTCATACAACACCAGGATGACATTGCAGGAGTCACAAATTTCAAAACTTTTTGCCAAACCCATGGAACAAAGAATACACACAGCTAAAACAAAGAAAAAAGGAGCTAAAAGCTGTACCTATTTTCACAGTAAATGATATTGAGGTCCATATTCACGCGAGTGACAAACATGTGGCAGTCAATCCTGACTTCATTAATTGTAGGAGGTGGCAAAGCATGAGCAACGACAACAAGTCCCATGATTTGGCTGGGTACTGTCCGTCCGTGGGACAGTGACACTCTCAGACGTAACCGGCCTGTTATATGAATCACCTGGAAAATAAAAACAATAAAAGAAACCCCAGTGAATTCCGAATGCAACTGTGACATCAGTTTCTTTTAAAGGATAGCATTACTATTCCCTACAGACCACTTAACACAGCCAAAAATTTTACTAAGTAACTGCCAGTATTAGTGTTAAGCTTATTAATATTGGCTGTCAACATGTCCTATATGTCCTCATGGCAAAAAAGAAGGCAAGAACATAACAGGCAAATGCTTCACATTCATCAAATAAAAACCTCAGAACTCCTGTGGTATTGATTTTTTTTGTGGTGGTTGTTACAGAAAGAAAGAATAAGAAAAAAACAAACTAGAAATTCAACAAAAGAAAAGAGAGAAGGGGATAAAACTGAAATAATGAAGGTAGAAATTAATAAAATATTAATTTTATAACATTTGGAGATTGAATATGAGACAAAAAGGTTGGCAGTTTTGAAACTTTTCCAGAATGGATTTAATTGAATTGCTAGTCACCTACACCATGGAGACACTGCTCACAGCTTTGAATTACTTCTTTGTGGTTGGCAATTTGAGAAGCAACAGCCTAGAAGTGATCAATGAACTCAGCTGCAGGATGGTCTTCTTGCATCCACAGCAAGCCTTTTAAGAGCTGGTAGTCATGTAATGCCTTTGCCTAGTACACTATACTACACTATCGTATATACTATGTATGTATGGAGAG